CCCCAAAACCCCAAAACCCCAAAACCCCAAAACCCCAAAACCCCTTTATTTTCTGATAAATTGAGGAAGGCATATTAAATATTATTATTAAGAAATTAGGGCAAGGTCTAGCAAAGCATATTTTTTAGGAACTCAGCTTAGAATTAATAGTTATCCACATACCTGTTAATGAAGATAGCTTCGCGAGAGTTGATCCTCCTCTCCATACTTCGTATTTCCTGTTTGGGGACTCAATGACCTTGGCCTTCATTGTCTGTGGAGCCAATTCTTTCATTTCCTTGTAGAGCCTCTCTCCGAGTTCTGAGAACATGGTGGTTCCTTAGGAGAGAATGATGTTAGCGTATAAGTCCTTCCTGACATCCAAATCACAAGTCATGATGGAGTCGTAGGTCAATTGGTGGACGCTCTTGCATTCTCTGCCTCCCAAGTCTGGCTGGAACAAGAACTCTGGGCATTGCAATCTTTGAGTGGAGATCTTGAGTGGTCGTTCATCTGGCAATGCGTATGACTCTTCTAGCTCATCTCCTTCTCCTGCTTTCTTGAGTTATGCCTCATAATCATCAGCAACTACGCACAGCTTCACTTTAATCTCTAACAGTCTCCTTCTAGATAGTAATCTCGAAGAGATAGTCATCGTACTTAAGGATTCTGAACATGTAATCCATAAGGTCTCTTCTCAAAAGAAGGATTTTCTCAATGGCGTGTGGGATTTGATAACCTTCAAAGATTGGCACAACATGTGTTACATCATCTCCAGAATCAACAACGATACTAGTGGTTCTTCCTGCTGAGTACAATGACAAGACAGCCTGGATGTGGATACATGCTAAGAAAATCTTATTCTTCGAACATAATTCTATATATGTTCTCTCTGCTTTGCTTTGGACTTAATGGAGCCCAGTCAATAGAACTGGATGATTCCAGTCTCGATCCTTAGTTTATTGGAGAAGGTATAGTTCCAAATCTTTTGCATACCATCCCAATCCTTAATCATTCCACTTTTATTGGATATGACAGAGTACAAACACCTCTCTTTTGTTGGCCTTCGTCTCCAACGAATTAATCTTTATTCCACCTCCTCCAGCAATTGCTTGCTTAGTCTTTGACTTAGCAACAACGGATGGGAATACTGAGCATGGTTGGTTCTCTCCTGCAGATCCTACTTTGGCAACACCTGAACCATTGTCGACAACAATGTCTTCTATAATATGTTCTTCTTATCTAATTTCTGTTATAAATACTTCAATAAATTTGAATGGACAAGGGGTTTTGGGGTTTTGGGGTTTTGGGGTTTTGGGGTTTTGGGG